GAGGTAATTTTGAAGACAAAGTGGAATTCACAGAAATAGGAAAGGCATTGTTCATTCTCAGAAAACAACCAAAACAAAATTTGCTCTTTCCACGTAATGATGAAACTTTTCAAAGTGATCATAATTTGGAAGAAACTGCCCAAAAAGCTCATACAGCGTAAACTACAGAGTTGGATCCTGTTTCCAGTGACACCCTAAAGTTGCCCTTCATAAGTAAACCAAATTTCATTGAGTAAATCCGCTGTTGAGTCCACTCTGCTTAGTGTCACATGTCATCAACAATTGTGGAGGTCTTCATATGAGTGTAAAGTCTCGTAATAGAGTGATAGAACGATTTATGAATATGATAAGTTAGTCTTTTAAATTTAAAATAACGTGCGAAGTATATATAATGCGTCTTATCTGTGAACTTTGCTCCCATCTGTAAAATATGACAAAAAGTATTGGAAATTCTCTACTTAAAGTGAAAATAATAGAGGGTAATGTCAGTCTCTTATTGATTTTATATTTACCAATGTTGGGAATCCACTGACTTAAGTTACAAGCATGGGTTGTTGTCAAGCCTCTGTTTTTCTCAATGTAAAATCAGTGAAAATGCCCCCACCAATCCTGCTAAAGACATTAATTCTCAGAACTTGATGAGACACATGCAACTCAGAAGATTAATCCATTCCATCTCCATGGCCTCATCCCTAGTCAATATGAGGGGAGAGAAGAAATGCATAAAATGTTTTTTTTTAAAGAAAAATTTTGTTTTAAAATGGGGAAAAGGGAAGAGAAGAGAGAGAAAGCAAAAACACACCTTATTGACTGTGACTTTTCTGTGTAGGCTGGGAGCCTCCTCTTATATTAATTCAACTCCCGTTCTCAGCTGCTACTTCATTTTCTAGCTTGTCTATAAAAATTCTCTCCTCACCTTTTCTGCCAAAGCATCTCCCCTCCTGCTTCTGCTCATTGCTGACAATTTCACCTAGGATTCAGCAAAATTTGCTGTTTCAAGAAAGCTCTCTTCCTCATTGTAGTTGGTTTCCTGACCCAGATGGGGAGGCATTCTTGCTGTTACAAACAGAAATTAAGGAAAGGCCTATGGTCACCTGAGGAAGATGAAAAGTTGCTCAGGCACATCACCAAGTATGGCCATGGCTGCTGGAGCTCTGTCCCTAAGCAAGCAGGTAAAGTGGGTTGTAGTTTCCTTTTCCTTGTAAAAGGGGTAAAATGAATTGTTCATGGGTTGTTTTCTAAATATAATGAAAATGAATTCACAGGTCTGCAGAGGTGTGGAAAAAGTTGCAGATTGAGGTGGATTAATTACCTGAGGCCGGATTTGAAGAGAGGCACATTCTCACAGGAAGAAGAAGACCTCATAATTGAACTTCATGCACTTCTGGGGAATAGGTACTCCGTTTTTCTCTTGCTGAGCTTTCATCCTAAACTAGAACTTTCCTGTGGTTAGTTTTTGATAGTAGCAAGAAGATTCAGTAAACATTCTTGGCATTTGTGGTTTTCCTCAGGTGGTCCCAAATCGCTTCACAATTGCCTGGAAGAACTGATAATGAAATTAAAAATCTTTGGAATTCTTGCTTGAAGAAAAAGCTCAGGCAGAAAGGCATTGACCCTGTCACCCACAAACCCCTATCCGAGGTTGAGGATGGAGAAGACAAGAATCAACAGAGTAACAGCGGAAACAAGAATTCTGGGGCATCCAGTGAATTGAAACTCAATGTTGAGAATCCAAAATCTGGACCAGGTCTGCTTAAGCAACAGCAAAATTCAGCTGCTGCACAGAGCTATCAGCAAGGAATGGAATGTTCTCCAAGCACCAAGACAATGAACAGTGGCAACAGCAGTAACTTAATTGCTTCCTCAACCGGGAAAAACTTCTTACCGGACAGATTTGCCACCACAGCCGCCAACAGGCAGCCTCCGGAGTTCGTGGGGCGTCTTCCCATTCCACAATTGAATTATGCATCCAGTGCCAGGATCCCAACAACAACCTCAAGCCCCAATCCCTGGTTTACTCAAACCAGCAAAGCTTTCGATATCAATCCTGAATTCTCTTCCAATGCAATATCTACCCTTCTTCCGTCATTGAGCGGCCCTTACATTTCTGCTGCTCCTATGGGATTCAAGCCTTCTATCACTGTCCCTTCTGAAAATCCTTCAATAGCCTCTCTTACAGTTACTGGATCCCGCTACTGGGAACCCAGTCCTGCCTCCAACAACAACAGTAACAACAGCAGCAGTGGCAGCAGCGGTGCAGAGTTGCAAAGCAACAGCTCCTTCTTTGAAAACAGCAGCTTCTCTTGGGGATTGACTGATTGCTGCACATCAGACAAAGAGGCCCAAATTCAACTCATGGAAAGCCAACCAGAAGAAGTAAAGTGGCCTGAATATTTCAATAATCCTCTAGTAATGGCTGCCCCTTTACAAAATCAGACTCCACAGTCCTTATACAACGAGGTAAAAACAGAAACACATTTCTTCCCACATGGTTCAAACAGCATGTGGCCTCATAACCAACAACAGCAAGAACCATTACAGAATCCCGACATATGTGCTAAGGATATCCAGAGACTTATATCTACATATGGGCATATTTAGCTTTGCATTGATGAACATTAAGGGGCTTGAACAATGGCAGGTGTGTGCCACAATTTTTTTTTTTTCCTTCTTTTTCCTTTTCCTCTCTTTGTATATAGGTCTGATACAAACATTTATCACCTCTGCTTGGACTATTTGTGAGCAAAAACATCTTGTTATATTAACTCTTTCATCTTGAGTGTGGGGTAGAAGTGCAGAATAAGGGTTGTTTTCAATGTCTTTTGCCTGTTCTTGCTCATTGCATTATTTGCATATCGGCCATATATCATCAGCAGGGTGAAGATGCAAAACAATCAGAAGGAAAAAAGAAAAATTTTGTTATTCACCCATGTTTGTACTTCAGTCTTATCTTTTGCTGTTACAAAACCAAATTTATTAGTCCCACAGACTCTACAAATTGCACAAAAATGGACCAAACCTCTCCTTTAGACTACAGTTTTCTCCTTAAAACAAAGGAGACATACATTGAAAATCCTTCTTCCTTTTAGTCTTTTACTGCTTTTTCCATTTCAAGATTCAGATGGTCATCTATCACTGTCCCAAGGACACAAAAGATTTCAAATAGCTTTTAAACCCGCTTTACTGCTTTTCCTTTAATTTTTAGGTGATTTCGAGGAAATGAGTGCCCCCTATTTAGTTGGCTGCCTTTTGTTTTAAACAAGCTCAACACCTCTAACATATATCATAAATTTGCTTCATTTGCAAGACTCCCCATTTCTTCTTTATCCAGTTATGTTAAATAAACGCGCACACGCATACGCATACATATAAATGCCATGGAGCATGGAGAGAAAACTCCGGCAGAGCCCACAAAACAACTTGAGAGTTATTCAATTTGTACTCCGTACACGGGGAAAATGACTATCGATCTAATAGGGGCCATATATACGTGCTGCTGTCTTGTAGCTTTTTTAAGACAGTAACGTTATCTTAAGAAACACTTTATAAAGCCAGAACATATCAATGCAATGGGATAAGGGAAATTAATAGAATGATAGTGAATGCAAAGAAAAGTTGTAGACTTGGCTACTACACTAAAATGCTACAAGCATGACCATGTTAAATTCAGAAATTCAGTAACATGATAACATCACCAAATGTAGAGATTTAGCTCATCTAAGGTTCAAATTCTTCAACTATTCATTCATATGTTCGAGTCCTGCTGCTAGCAGTTCCTTGTACTCTTAACTGCCTGCACCCTAAATTTTCATGTACTTAAATTGACCAGAATATGGACAGTGCTGTGATTTTTTCCCTGAAAAATCCCAATTAAGCATGTAGGGTAAGAAACATGGGTATGGGTCCATGTTTGTGGTATGGTAAGTTTTTTCCATTTAGGATGAACCAGAACAAGGCACTGTTATCTTTCAAAGCCAAGCCCAACATAACTCTGCAGCCCAGAAATTAGTAAATAAGTTGGGTCTAAATCGTTTATAATTGTCTGGGTTGGTTTTACTTGGTGGGGAATTCGAGTTTTGGTGTTTGGGTTTATCATTTTTAGGCTCATGAGATTGCTATTCCTTCTTTCAGCCAAAGCCCAACAAAATCACTTGAACTGTTGAACAAAGAAGTTTCTGACTTGAGTTTATTGTCGGCTTGGGCTTTGCTTTCACTTTAGTGCCTGTTTGATTATCGCCTAGAAATGGCTGTCAAGTGGAAATAGTTTTCGTGCCAAAATTGGTACTTGAGACAAGGTTAAAAATGAAGAATCAGGAAAATGAAGTTGCTTATGTTTGGTATGGCTATCAAAAAGTCAAGGAATCTATAGTATTTCTCCTATAAATTCAGTAGCAAAAAAATGTTAACGACACTTTTTTTAATTTTTTAATGCTATTCTTTTACTTATTAGGTGATTAATTGATGCAATAGATATTTTTCTATTATTTGTCCAACCGGTAAGTTAAATTAATTTAACTTTAACATCATCTAATACATGGATCAACAATAAATAAATACTTACTATGTAAACAAATAATAGACTAATATTTATTCCGCAAATTAATATACAAAAAAAAAAATGTAAAAGAGAGTGTTGCTAGCATTTCTCATTCAATATGTAGTAATTTGAATATATTAGACAATAACTTTCAAAGATGGAGTAATAACATCTATAGGTTGGGCTATAACGTCTTTTAGTAGGCAATAATTAACTTTATTAATTGTTAACTTTGTTATACTAGATAATAAGTTCTATTAGGTAGTAACTTTTTAAAATTAGGTTATGACTTGGTATGATCATTACATTATTGCATTATTCAACATAATAATTTCAATTTCAAATTTCAAAATGTTAATTATAAAAATAAAAATATAATAAAAAAGTAAAAATTATATAATATATACTCATTATAAAAATTATGTGAACTTTGGTACAAACTCATCTCAAGAACAAGTGTTACCCACTCCTTTTAATATTGTAACTGATTTGGTGGGTCGTGGAAGCACTGCTCCTTAATCCTTGACCAAAATAAAGCAGATCTCATTCCCAAACCTCCCTTTCGGTTAGATTTTATAGTTGATCCTAATTAACGGACTTGGGACCTCACGCTTTAATGAACCACGCTAAGTAAATTCATCCCATTGGCCAAATATAAAACAAGTAAAAACATCTTACATCAAGACTTGGTCTCTAATAGGGGATTGAACATCCCATCAAGGAGACACGAGTCCTATTTACAAGAACCACAGACAAGCATGTTCCTATCATCTGACATTAAAATTAACAAAAGAGTCAATGTTCATGTTCCAATATAGATTCTTCAAGCAAATGAAGAAATAATGTTTAGTTGAATAGTTGCACTTGATCCGTGTGGTCTAGTGGCTAGAGCCACTGAAAAGTGCACATCCCCCTCCTTTGGGTGGGTTTTGAACCCGCCCCATAACAAAACTGTTCAAAAAAAAAATGTTTAGTTGAATAGTTGCACTTGATCCGTGTGGCCCAATGGCTAGAGCCACTGAAAAGTGCACATCTCCCTTCCTTGGGTGGATTTCAAACCCGCCCCATAACAAAACTGTTCAAAAAAAAAAAATGTTTAGTTGAATAATTAAAAATAATTAATAATTAATATCAAATGATTAATAACTATTATCAAAAGAGTATTTGTATTTATCTAATTAAAAAAAAAACTATCAGCTGTTTATTTAAAAATAATATAATTACAAA